TTTTGCTTATTTTTCAACGGATAAGTGTATTTATTTATTTATACACATTTTAATTAAGTGACATCATTAAAATCATATTTTTAGTCGACTATAATCAGCGGCAATTTAGGCGAACCACATTTACATTTACATTTAAGTACCCGAGCGGATAAGCGCATATTAAATTTGACGCCATTTTGTAACTGATATCATTTAAAGCGTGCTTTAAATCAAGTGTGAGATTATTCTAGGCCATCTGATTGAATCAAATTGGCGGAGTGTGAGCATTGTGGGAATTTCATTTAATACGCTTAAATACACATAATTAAACTCAATCAATGTGGGAAAATATGAAATCTGTACATTTCAATTAAAAGAGATTAAAACGGTTATCCGTTTTGAATGAATGAGACGCAATCTAGAATCACATTCGTTGAATAATGAAAATATTTAATAAATTATGTTGCCAATTAAATGTAATCTACACGCAGATTTATATCGTTGCACAACGGCAAATGAATTATTATCCAGTTTATGGGCAGGTGTAAAGCACCGACGACTTTCATGTTTTGCGCTTGGTAACCCCCCACAAAAAAACCCAAACAGGAAAGAACTCTCAATTTCAGGCTGACCGAAGACCAAATACTCTTGCGGCTATACAGTAGAAGCTTTTTACTAATATTATAATGAAAGACATAATATTTTATCCATAATATATAGTAATTTTTTTCTAGAAAAAGTTTATGAAATAAGTTTAGGTATAGAGAACTTGAATAAAGTGGAAGTTTGTGAAAGATAGGGTATCCTTAAAACGATAAAACCTTTGGCAGAGCCTTGTAATAATAATATTAATGCTGATATTCAAATATTGAAAGTAATTCCATCTGCTTGCTTAATATTTATTCAAAAACAGAAGTTTTTAGCTAATTTTTCAAAAGATAGCTTTAATATTGTGAACCGCGCTGACCGATAAAAACTATCCGGCCCATTGAAACTATCCGTATCCTATCCGTAGACAATCACCGATCAATAATATATACGCAGCTTAAATTATAAACTCAATTCTGTTTCGTAATAAGGGTATTCAAAGTTCCTTGGCTGCATAAATTAAATTTTTATAGATTCAACACAGTTTCCAGTGTGAACAACCTTTTCTCAGTACACAATTCGAGTTTAGTATTCTCTTCTTCTTTTTTGCCTTTATTTACATTGTAAATTGTACAAATTTGACACAAATCGAGTCGCTTGCGCAAGTTTCAGCGTTTTCCTGGTTTTACCTTAAAAAAAATGCCGTCTAAACAATAAAATAGTGTTGGAAAACACGAACTGAGTGTCTTTAGCAACACTAACTTTGCAAGTCTACAATTAACTACGAGATTAGGATCTGGGTTACAGAGAAGTAGAGTAGAAAGTCAAGGAAAACAACCCAAGTCTACTTTATAAAGCGAAATTGTTACGGTATTTAAATGTGACTCCCCATGGAAGGGTATTTAAACCAAAACTGATACCAAAATCGCTAGCAAAATGAACTAAATTTATGACCAAATATAAGCATGGGAGGAGTATGTGTATATAAATATACACTTGTAAATCGAATTGGTGGCATTCGCGTGGTGCAAGCACAACAAGCAAATGCCGTGACAGGTCAAGCGGCATGCTGCACGGGGCTGTCACCTATAAATAACGCGCACAGCTCAGCAATTTTGGACAACCCGAAACAGAAACAGAAACAAAAACAAAAAGAAACAGAAACAACATCAAAGTAATCGATTTTTTGAAGGAAAAACCATTTACCTGTCACACACTCACACACGCATCGAGTACCTTGGTGGGGTAAGTTTTTCATTGGGTTAGTTGGTCGTTTCGACACAAATCTACAAATAGATAAAGCCAAACGACTAAAGTTGAATGAACCAGCTGAGCTTAGGCGAAAAGCAAAATAAATAGAAATAAACACGATACTCGAACGAGGCGGCAGCAATACGAGACTGACAAATCAACTCATTGCGTGATTTTAGAGCTGAATTTCCATCATTTGCCGTGAATCATCTTTCCCATGGCATAAATCAAATCGATCGACGCAAGTTTGTCGTCGCCTAAGCACGTACAACAAATCGCCAGCGACATTCGCGATAGGCGATTCACGAGTTATTGAAATCGATTGATTCGATTCTGCCACACGGAGGCGTTTCCAGTTGCCCCACACTTTGCAATACCCTTTCAAGAAAGGGGTAGCATCAACTTCGCATCAAATTTGAAAGGTAGGTCAGAAGGCATCTTTCGAGGCATAAATTATATATTTGCCTGGGCGTCGCTTTCACTTCAGATTTTAGATTTTATTTATATTTCACTTATTTTCCGACCGTGAAAGTGAAACTGCACGTCTCAAGTTACATTTTACTTAGATATTTGAAAATGCCTTGAACCAAAACTCAGAATCAACGTTTTTCGCACATTTTAGTCCTGCGGTGAGTAATTGAATCCGCATAAGAAACTGTCGCTCATACATCGCCCATTTTCCACTTCGGCTGGTGGATTTGGCGAAAACTATGAAACGACTCAACTACACTTTTGCAATGATGTTTGACTTGAGCCAATCGGTTGGTAAGCAACAACAAAATGTCATGCAACTGGTTTCCACGATTCTTTAACACTTTCGGTTGGAATTACCCAATACCATAAATTAAGGTACCGTAAAAATGCTCACGGTTTGAGAACTAATCACCTATTAGTCAGTCAAGACAAACATAATAGACTATATATTTTACGATTTGTGAATCAATCACGACAAAAGTGTTATATATATATATAGATTGCATATTAGGGTAGAATATATAAATTATCATGCATATTAGCTGATTAAATTATCTGTACAGTACGCCTTCGCTAAAGGAAACTCTCGATACAATCAATCCCGCGATTAATAGAGCTCAAAAATCTTTAAAATTGTAGACAGCAAAAATTAATTTCTTTTACTTAAATTTCCAAATTTTTTAGAATTTTTTAGAAAATAAATGTAAGCAATTAATTAGTTAGTTTAACTAAGCAAATCTATCCAAATATAAATTCATTCGATTTTCACTAATTTCTTTTTGCCTCGCAATTGACAAATGGGTTGCTTTGAGCGAGGACATACTGTATCTGCTTTAGTTAGAGTATCGCATAGTCAAACACACGCTCTCAGCTCTGGCTCAGTCTTAAGCGTTATTTATGCGCTTGAATGGATTCGGATCGGATCGGATCGGTAATTGCTATATTTTTGCAGCTTATTGCCTGCAGCCTCATGTGTATTTAACGAGACGCGGGCACAACAAATTTGAAAAGTCGTTTTGCGGCTCACGTGAGCGACGGGCCAGGTTTCGAGTTAAGATTTGAGTCTTATTTTTGTGCTTCGTTTTGATTTTTTGGCAGTTGAGCGAATGATTCGATGGTCATTTGTGACAGCTACGCAAACACACAATTTGTCTATGCGCCAGTCAAATGCTTAAGGAGAGATCAACATTTTGGGCAGCCTGCGAGAATGTGGGAAACACTTGCTTGTTATTTTTATTTGGCTAAGATACTTGTTATTCCCCTCCCGCCTCCCTCAGGCACACAACTTTTCAGCAACCGGCTAAAACGCCTAATTGGGTCGTCGCCGCAGATAAGATAACAACTGTTTGCCGTAGAAATTGATTTTCAGCAAATTTTTTAACTTTTGCTTTACTTTTTTTATTTCTTTCCATGTTGAAGGGGGGCAAGCTTAAAAGCGAACTGTAAATGAAGCAATTTTCATTGTTTATTAAGCGGCATGCGAAGCAGGTGAATATACAAAATGTATGGAATTTTTGTATTTTAAAGGTGTAGCAAACTTATTCATAAGTGCTTCGGCTGAAGTCGAGCCTTTGGGTGGAGTTCAAGTTTTTACAATCTTTTCTTCTAATGAGGTTAATTAATCATAGCGTGAATTGTGCACTATAAAAAAGTCACATAGATAAATAACGCTGAATTATGACTCACAAAAGCAATAAAAATAAAAAAAAAAACCTAGCATGTATCATATGGTTTTTTTTTCTAATTAGAGACAGGTAGTTTCTTAGGCAAAGATAACATAGCGTGTGTAGCTGCATAAATTAAAAAGGGAACAGATATAAGAAATATATCTTTTAAAGAATATATGTATATATATTTATACATATTCAGATAAATTAAACTTCGATACAAAAGATTGCTCAAAAAAGAATTCCAAAATTTCTAATTATCTAACAAAAGAATATATAAAGATACGATATAATATAGAATACGGAAGACATAAGACTTTAGACATTAGACGTTAAATATAAGATATTAGATTTTGTATATAAGATACGATATAAGATATAAGATATAATATTATATAAGGTATAAGATTCTAATATCCCACGATCGCTTCAGTTACGCTACTTATACGAGTTTCCTATATGTTCCAATCAGAACAGAAAGTTCTAGTTGTGCAAATAATGAAAAAATGAAGAATAAGAAAAAAGAAGAAATGAATTCTTCACGAAGAAGAATTTGAATACAAGGCGTCAAATTCAATGAAAATGAAAATAAAAACAGTTCAGTCTTCACTCCGTATTATGTAACCCGTTTATTTCCATTTGTAAGACTCTTTTATTTCACAAATAACAGCCCCTATATTATCATAAACCAAATACCACGTCAAAGATCACAAGCAAAAAAAAAAGAAACCCGTAAATTGTGCAAGGTTGGAAATGTCTATCTAATCAGAATAATTTCGACACCCAAAAGCGGCGGGACCTCTATCAAGATGAAAATAAGTCTAAGTTTAGAAAAAAAAAAAAGTTGCCAACTATAAACATAAAAATTTATGGTTAAAATTCGCTCGACTGATTCATCGGGAACCTTATTCTTATTGCAGATTATAAAATTACAAAAAAAAAGTGGATGGAAAAAAACAAAAACAACTTTGCGAATTGAGTCATAAAATTTGGATAAGGAGTAGCTGTAAGAGAAAGCGAGAGAGCAGATGATGCACTTACCAGTCGTTGGCTGTGTTTAGTTACTCTTGTTGTTCTTCTTGTTCTTCCTTCTATTTTGGTTGTTTTTTTTTTGTCTGCTGCGATGCTGCAGTTGTCGATATTTATTTTCGTTATGTTTTGGGTTCTTATGCTGCCCTCTCTCTCTGTCGCTCACTGCTTGTTAATTCTGATTTGGTTTCCTTTTTTTTGCTGCTGCTTGCACACACGCGTTTTGTTTTGCTTGCCTCGTTCGTTTGCGTTTTCACTTTCACAGGTAAATGCTACGTCAGGGGAAAAGGGTTAAAAGAGAGAATTTCATTGGCTGCCCGCACAAACTTTTTTGCTGTTGTTTGGCTGCTTGCGATTTTTTATTTACTTTTTTTAATTCTTTTCTTGGCGCTCTATAGAATGCACATTGGCAACTTTTTTACACTAATCGAACAATTACCGCAACTGTGGCGACTACCTTGCGCTGCGAGCGTTAAAAATCAACTGAATGTGACGTTATGGCCAGGCCGCCACTGAGGCGTGAGCGCGCGTTTAATACCGTTACGGGCAACATCAAGAGAGTAAAGGCAAGAGCGCCATAGTTGCCAAAGTGTGCGTACATGCATGTGGGGAGCAGCCGACCCAAAGACTGTCCTCTCTCACTCTCTCACACACAAACACTACCAGCCTGAAGCACTCTTCACATATGTGTGGGTGATTTAATTTTTTGTTAATACGTATGTATGTGTAACTTTTTACCGGCTGATTAGGTTATAACGTGCTTATTGTGGCCAACGACCATTCTATTTGAGCAGCGCTCATTACCGTATTAAATACCAAACAAATGCCAAATATTCGCGGTACTCTGCGCGCTGCACAAATGCAACGCACGCTCTTTACACGTGGTTTTTTATTGCAACTTCACGCAACGTAAATTCCCACACACAAGCACGAAAATACCCAAACGCACACCAAAACGTAACACGTCGAAAATAATAACAACAACAACAGCTACGACTCGCTCTCAGCATAACACAGCTCTGGCTCTCTCACTCGCTCTCTCTCTCTCTCGCTCAATCCATGTGCGTTGTTGCTGGCCAAGCGAAAAGAATTTTTGTACTATAAAGATTGGTATATTTTTATTATTGTTAGCATTTAGTTAGCACCTCGCATTATAAATCATCGCCAAAGCAACTGCCACACAAGACGTGAATTCATATTTTTAACGCTTTTTATAGCTGACAATAGTTAAAATAAACAACAATCACAAACAAGCGGGTTTTCTATTTCGCAAAATTTTTGCTCTCTTTTTTTTTCTATACAACAACAAAACTAGGCCCGTAGGGACTGTCCAGCGTTTACAAGTGTGTGTGCGGCCAGGCCTCCACAAACACACATACATATAAGTACGCACATTGGAAAAGTAACACAATTACAATTTGGCCTAATTTTTACAGCAACATCCGAAATGGCATTCAGGCGAATTATTTTTACCTTTTAGCACTTTTCCGTCACATGCAACTCAACTTTTGTTGCTATTTTCGTTAATTATTTTTAATTATTTCTAACAAATAAATGTTTCCCGCGACACACGCAAATATAAGCCAACTGTTAAGTTAACAGACTCTCCGAGAACGCAGCTGTTTGTTTACAGCTTTACAGACTGATAACAAATATGTTTACAGCTGTTGTTAAATGCGCAGCATCAATTAACGATTTACGAGTGAAAGTTTGGTGAATTGAACACAGTTTAAGTTAACATAAAATTTAAATTTAAATATGCAAAATGTAAAGATGTAAAGTAGAAAATTTTGTTATACTGACAGTATCACTTGCCGACATCTGCTGTTAAAATTATGTTAATCCGATAACTTAACCTTTCGGACTATCGGAATGACAATTTAAGTCAGCGCAAAACTGTTAAACACTGCACAAGGCAAGCGCGCATTTTAAAACAGCTTGCAGATTACGGAAAAATCGCCTTACAGCAGGTTTAATATGTTTTTAAGTACTTAAAGTACAATTAGAAATAAATAAATACATGCTCTGTTAAAGCATTGTTAGGCCCCAAAACAATTTAAATTGCAACATTCAGTTCGTACTTTTACAACACTGACAAGGCGCGCATTTGAATTCAGCTTTAAGCAAATGCATTACTAAATTTAACAAATTCTTTGCCAGTTTACAACTACTTTGAGTCTTATTCTCTGTGCTTTTTACATATCCAAATTAATTATGAAAAGTATAGATAAATGCAATTTTAATCTCAGGAATACGCAAATATAATGTTGCACATCTCGTTATTCTTTTGATTCAAGGCAAAAGTGCGGCCCGCCGATTTGTGGGTCTGCGTCGAACGCAAATGTTTGGCATACGGCTGCTCCACCGACTGCAGATAAACGGAGCGCTTATTGGATTGTCTAGATATATGGGAGATATATATATGAGAAAGAGGAATTATATAATTGAAATGTGTGTAGACTAACGTGAGCAACTGTTCGGGACTCTGCAGCTGCATGCAGAGTTTCATGTTGTCATAAAAGTCCAGATCCGCCTGCAGGCTGAGCTTGGGCTCGTGGCGCAGCGTCACATCCTGCAGCAGCTTGGCATAGGTGAAGCCCACAGCCAGGTGGGAGACCACAGCGCTGCCCGTGCTGCAAGGGATGGATTAAAATGTATTTCAAATCGAAATTCACAAATTTGTCAAAACTCACTTTTGCTGGATCTCCGTTTGGGCATTGCGATTCCACAGGCTGAAGGTAACTTTGCCATTCAGATCCACGCTTCGGGCGCCCAGCACACGCCAGTGCAGCGTCGCACCCGATGCCAGGACAATGTACTGCTCATGATCCTGCGCCAGCGTGGTCGCCTGATATGCCGGCGTTGTCTCCGAGGCGCTGCCGCCCCACACATGACCCATGAGCTCCGTTTGGCCGTTGAAGAAGATCAGCGGACGCAGCTGTGCGCCCTGCACACTGATCTCCATGCCCGCGGTGACCGTCTCCTCCTGCTCCAGGTCATCGTCCGCGGGTATTTGGCCATTGCCCTCATCCGCATCGCCATCGCCGACAAGGGAGCTCAGGCCTGCGGTGTAGATGCCCAGCTTAAAGCTGCTCGCCTCTGCGCGTCCCGCGTGCAGCATGAACTCCACGGAGCCACGTTTCAATATGCCCTGGTACACCTCCTGGGTGCTCAGCAGGGTCTCATTGAAAGCGGGCGACTGGGAGAGCTGACGGGTCAACACGGTGGTGAGACCTGAAAAGCAAAGGGAGTTGGGGATCTAATTAAAATATGTATACATTGGCATTTATATAGCTCTGCTGATTGATTAAGGGATTGATTGATTGACTTGACCTAATAATTTACTGACTAAGTGATAGACTTTCTGACTGAAATACTGCTTAGATGTACACAAAATTCTTTGTGATGACTGTTTGATTGATAAGCTGATTAATTGATTGACTGATTGATTGAATAACTCTCTGATTGACTAACGGAATTGAATTTATAATTAGATAAAGTTTGCTTGACCGACGGACTGATTAATTAAATGTTTAATAAATTAACAGATTGATAGACTGAGTCTAATTGACGGATGATTATCTGTTTGATTGACTGACAGACTTGTTTGACCCACTAACTGAAAAGTTAATTGATGTACTGCATAATTTACAGACTAATTGGTTCAACGATAGATTATCCGATAGACTTGTTGTTTGATTGACTAACTGACTGAATGACTGATTATTTGAATGACTGAATGATTGATTGACTCACTGATTCAATGAAAAACAAGTTTATAGATGACTAGCGGGTATACCCCGGTCTTGCCCGTGGTACGTATAAAATAAATAAACAAAGAGCCAAACCTAGTGAAAATCGGTTGAGATTTGACCGCGTTATGGATGAGGAAAGTTTGGATCTATGTCTATTTAGGTTAATAGCAGGTGTATCCATCCAAAAGAGGATCAATAAAATAAATCTGAATAATTACCCCGCTGTCCCAGCACGTTGTAGTTGTTGACGTGCGCTCGCTGGCTGAGTGCCGACTGGAACATGGCGCGGAAACGTGGACAAATCTCGGCGAGCATGCGCAGCTTTTGCAGCACATAAGTTTTAATCTCAAACTGGCGATCGTTGGAGGCCAAGTAGTCGAGCAGCTGGCCCAGCTGCTCGGCACTGGGACGCATGGCCAGCAGCATGTCCAGGGCCAGGGTGCGGGCGGAGCTGTCAAAGCGACGCTGGCGCTGATAGAAAATGCTCTCGAACTGGAGGCGATGCGGCTCCGCATAGCTGAGAGCTGGGAAGGCTTTGAGTGCCTGCAAGGCGGCCACCGAGAGCTTGGGCTGGGTCGACTGCGTCGCCTGCTGAAGCAGTGCATCAATGGTCTGCGGATCGCGCAGATTCTGCAGGGCGCGTGTGTACATGATGGGATCCGGCGAGGAGGCGAGCCCCTCCAGCAGATGGACGCGTATCTGCTGCAGCAGCTGATCGTTGACATCGAGGCCGCTCTGGCGCGTGAGCGTGGCGAGCGTTTGGAGCACGCTGTCCCGCAGCTTGGCGTGCGACTTGTGCGCCGGCGGCTGTTGCAAAAAGTCGAAGAGCTGCTCCAGAATACGGCGCTCCGGGTGCGTGCCGACGGCCAGCGCTTGCAGATACCTCTCCAGCAGCTCCAGCGACTCCGCCTTGGTGTCTGATCCCTTATAGAAGTGCGCAAAGCTGGCATTGTGCGCATCGTAGGTCTGCACGGCGCCCAGCAGATCCACCAGCTGGCCGGCCAGCCTGGGATGCGACTGCAGCAGCGCCTCGAACTGCGGCTGCTTGGCGATGCGCGCCAAGGGCAGCAGCTGGGCAAAGGCCAGCGCTAGCGAGGATTTGCCCACGTGCGCCGCTTGCAAATCCTTGACGCTAAGCTCGAATTGCGCCTGGAGCTGTCGGTGGGCGAGAATGGATTAGGTGAAGTGAACGCCACCGAAGGATATGCCTACCGTTTGCTCCTGCAGCTCGCTGATGACGCCGTCCACATCCGCATCCAGCTCGAACACGCGATACCATTCCAACAGGCTGTCAATGGCCGCATCCAACGTGGTCTGCTGCAGCTGTGGCACCTGCTCCTCCGCGCCCAGCGCCACATGCTGCAGTCGCAGGCGGCCGCGCACCACACTGCCCACATCCGGCTTGGCCGCCAGCGTCAGGCGATGCGTCTCCATGGACTCGGCGCGCAGCAGTGCGCCATCCGCGCTCAGCTCGTAGTCCACCTGCTCATGCGACTGCTGCGACACGCCCAGCGCCTGCTCCGGATGATAGCTGACCCGCAAATCCCACAGCGCACAGTCCGTTTTGGTCTTCTCCACGCGCGTCGAAGATTTCACATGGTAGCGCACCCGGCAATGCCCGGAGACGTCCAGCTCGTTCTCGCCGCTGTCGCTGCTGGCGAGGCGCAGCTGCAGCAGCGAGGCGATGCCGCGCTCCAGGTTGAGCAGCGACTGATCGCGGGACGTGTGCGCGATCACCTGTTGCGGCTGACCCTGCCTGAGGGCCACGTAGAAGGGTCTGTCCGGCAGGCTGTTGATCTCGCGCTCCTTTTGCTGCGCTGTTGCGCTGACGCGGCTTTTGCTCAGCTCGATTTCCAGCAGCTGCTCCTCATCTCTGCTCCACACTGAGCTTATCTTGAGCTGCGTCTCAAAGCTGTAGCTGACATCCTCTGATTGGCTGCCTGCGAGCGGTTCCAGGCTCACCTTACTCGACAGCTCGAAAAGCTGCTGCGAGCCGGCGGGTATTAAAGAGGCGCCCGCAGCGGCTGCTCAAGAGAAAGAGGGAGAGAGGAAGAGAGAGAGAGAGAGTAAGAACACGTCATTAGCAACTTGGCAGAAATTTCACATAGCTTGCAATGTGTGTGAGCTGGGCTCAAGAGGTTATCAACAAGTCGCTGTTGCTGCCGAATCAGCTGTCAGCTCCCGCTCCCGCTCTACTGCTATGCACGTGTGTGTGTGTGTGTGTGTGTGTGAATGTTATTGTTGCTGTTATTCCATGCGTGCGTGCGTGCGTGTGCGTGCATTATAGCAACAAGTTCATTCAACTCCAGCTTGCTACGTGCTTCGCCTGAGAAGAAATTAAACAACAAATTCTTTGCAAATTACTCACCACAGCAGGTGACTAGCATCAGCAGCGGCAACAACAGCGGCAGCCGAGAAATCATTTTGCTGCTGTTCGTTTGCCGGCGTTGCTGCATTTTAGCTTTTGTTCTGCGGCTTTTCCACACAAATGATAGAGTATATAGAGTACTGATAATGTTAATACATTGATTGATCGTTTTGGCTGCACTTGTTGCTCGCAACAGCTCGAATTGTACTTTAATCTCGCATTAGTCTTGCGACGCGTTTGATTGCTGCCTGTGAACTAACAGCGGCGTATTTTTGGCGCATGTTAACTAACAGCTTGCTTTCCCTTAACAGCAACGCGGATGTTAAAGCCTAAACTAATGTGAGAGTGCTGCCACATCTGTAAAAAAAGTTGTTAAATTCGAAATAAAACTGTTGAGAAGTATTTTTAAATTCTTATCAATTGCTTCTTGTTCAAATACAGAATATCCTAAGTAAAACCAATAAAAGTGCACTTTAAATAAGCTGAGCAACAAATATTTACACATTTGTACTGTTGCGCAAAGATAAAACGCGCCTGAGTTCGTTTTTTATCAATATCCAAATAAATGCATGAAACATAAATTTATTGATTAACGGGACCTCAGACAAGCACATTTGCATTTTGTCACAAAATTTGTTTTGTTTTTATCTTTTGTTTACACAAATATAAGCGACCGCAATGTTTAATTAACCACAAAAACTGTTGCGTTAAACAATGTGAAAATGGGTTAATGCAATTGGTAAATATCAGAAAAAAATTAAATATGTATCCTAAGGGAAATATGTGCAAACACACACGCACACACATGCATATACCAATGCATGCGTACACTTAGAGAATGTCATCAAGTATTTTAAGGTCAAATCAACGACAAATGTCAAATATTTACAAGTTGAAACTTTCTCAGCCGAGGAACGAGATTTATATATCACTAGCGGGTATAACCCGGCCTTGCCCGTGGCACGTATGTTATAAAATCAAAAAAGCTTTGAAAATGATTTTAAAACTGATCGGACGGGAATCAAATAACTTTTATGCAAATCGGAAAACTCTTAAAACTCACCAAAAAAATCTTTGAAATGCATTTTCCACCGAAGGAGTTTAGATTTTGCAAAAAGTGTGAAACACGTCTCAAATGATTTTTCGTATAGATCTTTGGAAATAAATTTGAACACAAAACGTCATCCACCAAATCTTCGACCCCCATTTGCACCAAAGAGGACCGGATTTTTCGAAAAGTGTGAAACACCCCTTAAATGAATTTGAACAAAGATCTTTGAAAATAAGTTTGGGGCCGATCGGATGGTAAACAAAAAACTTTCATACAACCGTTTTCCGCCAATTTACCACTGTTGCGGGTGGAATTTCCCAAATCGCTGAAATACGTATTTATTAAGTTCTTATGTAGAGCTTTGAAAATAAGTTTGAAGCAAATCGGACACAACTTAAAACTTCGCCCAAAAAATCTTTAAATCGCATTCCCCCCGAAGAAGTTTGAAATCTGCGAAAAGTGTGAAACACGTATCAAATGATTTTTCATATAGATCTCTGGAAATGAATTTGAGTGCGAAACGTCACCCACCAAATCTTTGACCTCTATTTCCACCAAGGAGGAATGCATTTTTCAAAAAGTGTGAAACACCCCTTTAATGAATTTCAAAATAGATCTTTAAATATGAATTTGGGGCCGATCGGATGGTAAACAAAAAACTTTCATACAACCGTTTTCCGCCAATTTACCACTGTTGCGGGTGGAATTTTCAAAATCGCTGAAATACGTACTTATTAAGTTCTTATAAAGAGCTTTAGAAATAAGTTTGAAGCAAATCGGACACAACTTAAAACGCCGCCCAAAAAATCTTTAAATCGCATTCCCCCCGAAGAAGTTTGAATTCATATAGATCACTGGAAATGAATTTGAGCGCGAAACGTCACCCACCTAATCTTTGACCTCCATTTCCACCAAGGAGGAATGGATTTTCCTAAAAGTGTGAAACACCCCTCAAATGAATTTGAACAAAGATCTTTGAAAATAAGTTTGAGGCCAATCCGATGGTAAACAAAAAAGTTACATACAAACGTTTTTCGCGATTTTTCCACACTTGCGGGTGGAATTTCCCGAAACCCCGTCTTAACGTGCACCTACATCACATAAGGTAGCTACAGTGAAAATTTCAGCTTCCTAGCTCTTAGTCAGTCAGTCAGTCAGTCAGTCAGTCAGTCAGTCAGTCAGTCAGTCAGGACAAACAGTTTTATATATAGAGAAGAACTTATTTTAAGCCCCAAAATAGCTTAAATACTGTACTCAAATACTATACCCTGTACTGTACTTTTCTGTACTGATGGTTGTTATGAGCAGGGAAATCCTTAAAATAGTAAGTTTATGCTTTAGAACCGGCCGGATCGGACTACTATATCATATCACACTACCATATCATATAGGTCTATAGGAAATCGATCGAAAAGTTGTATAACGCAGACAAAAAATTCCAAGGTATTTTCATCGAATTCAGCTACAAACTTTATCTGCGAAGTCGTAATCCAAATATCTGCAAGGCTATTAAATATTCGGAGTGCCGAAAATATCCTTACTTTCTCGTTTCTGAGTGTATTTGTACTTATAAGCATAGCTAGCTGTAAGGCGATAAGTGGGGCAGTTCGAACGGACATGGCCCGTTGCAAATGTCGCGGCTGAGCAGCGGCCGAGCAGCGGCCGAGCAGCGGATGAGCAGAGGCCGAGCAGCGGCTGAGTCAATGCCGAACGGCAGCGTTTATCAGCAGAAGGAAATAACGACAACGGCGACAACGCAGCGTGAGTGCCTCTGCCACTTAGGGCAAACATATGTTTCGTCTCAAATTGAACGAGCGACCGCAACAACTTTAAATTTTGCTTATCAGTGGCTGCAGCAGATAGCAACAACAACAACAACTACAACAACAAGAGCAGCTACAACAATGCAAACTTGCAGGCAGGCAAACGGACAACAAACGAAAATTAACAAAAACTAAATTTAAACACGTCTTGCTGCGGTTGCGAACGAGATAGCGTTAAGCAGAGTGGCAGCAAGAGAGACAGAGAGAGCGAGAGAGAGAGAGAGAATGGAAGAGCGCGCGTTTCATTAGCTGCAGCTGCAGAGCTGCTGACTGGGGTCGTTTGGCAAGGTTAACGGTGCGTATGCTGGGGACGGGTAACGCAAGCTGCAATTGGCATAGGGTGCACTAGAAGAGAGGGGGGGGGCAGCAGAGTGTGACCAGATGATGGGCAGCTCGGACCAAAGCAAACGCTGACCTGTGCACTGCGGATTATTTCTATTCTTAAAGAATGCGCAGCTTGCACAGTGGAACGAGAGTACATGCAAATGTTATGTAATAAAGCGATGCACTCAAAAGGCCTGCTCATAGATATATATTTACGCAATATAAATTTACATTTAATACAAATATACACGGAGAGATAAACTGAAACTGGGTTCAAATTGAGTTAAATATACTTACTCGATCGAGAATATAGAAGTTTTAAGTTTTTCGCCTAAAAGAATAGTTATGTATTTGGGACTCTGTTTCGAATACATAATATTTTTCTAGTTTAATATCTATTTCAATCCTTCTCTCTAAATTCCTATTATTTGCGAACGGCTTGCACGGAGAACTCGGAAATTGAATGTTACAGATCTTATCGACATTTTTTTTCCTGTAATTGGTAGGAGTGACGCAAATACAGCACTAAGTGAACTGAGAAAACAGAGAGCGAATAAGTGTAAGAGCAGGAAAAAAAGGGACTAAAATGAGAGCAAGAGGGAAAGAGAGTGAGATAGAGTAAGAGAGAGAGAGAGAGAGACAAAGTCTTATAAAGATAGAAAAATGTGATCGCAACACAAATTGTTAATACATCACTTTTTATCAGAGCATGAACATCCGTAAGTCTTCCTCGATTACGTGAGAAGCGCATAGAAGGGCAATAGTAAAAGTACTTTTTTATATGCATTTAGCGGAAAGTAAACTGGTCCTGCGTTTGGTATAAGAGCAAAGAACATACATACGTACCCACACACAAATAGGCGTAACTATACTCACACAAAAATACATACGGATATACCTCATGTTATGCCCGACCGGAAGGGTATATTGATATCAGCACAAAAATTCTAAGGCACCAATAAAACGATCCCACATTCAAATATAACATAATCTTTTGTTTCTTGGTAAAAATCAGAAATGCCAAGTTGTAGAGATCCCCTCCTTGAAAGAAAAGTCACAAGCATTACTTAGTTTAGTTCCAAATCGACTGCCGCTTCGAAAACTCGTTGCTTGAGAGCTCGAAGCTCAAAGAAATCAAATAAATACGCCGTTGTTTGATTAAATGAAAAAAGACTCAGCTAGTTTATCAAAGTAAAATACAAACTGTGTGTTAAAAAAAAATTATTTTCTTTAAACAAAATAAAAAAACAAAATACAAAATTCTGAATAATCAATAATTCAGATTTGTGCGGCTTAAATGTTTAATTTAAAATCATCAAACAAAGCTAAAAAAAGCACAGCAACGAGAATTTTAAAGCTTAGCTGATTCATTTTTGGGAACAACTGCGCCTTCAAATAAAACAAGCCTACAATTTTAAGGACCAACTATCTTATTGATGAGGAACTGAATTAGCATCAGGAATGGATCCATTGAGGCATTCATCCAAGGAGAAAAGGAGGAAATCTTTAACAACGAGTACGAGATCAAAACATCTGAAGAAGAGCTATGACTGCAAAATATTGCTTTTTATTGCAAGAATACGTAAGTAATTACACTATGCAACAAATTTATATATGAATTCGGCTATTTTTTATGATTTGAAGAATTCAACAATGGACTTCGGATGGACTCGAAACCATGAACTTTATAACTTGGTTCAAGTACCAAAGTAAGTTCTGTGTAGAACTAACTTACTTAAGTAAGCTAAGTTTGAAGATAAAAAAAATTGAAGAATTAGATTAAGCAAAGATTTCTAGAAAATTATTCAAGAAAGATGTGATATTTTATATCCACAAAAACTAGCTTTACTCAATTGAAAAGTCAAAAAGAAATATTTATATCAATATAAAAATGTATGCCAAGCTATTAATAATACATTCTTATACTATATTAAACAAGTTCCAGGGTAATATATGTTAGTTAATTAATTTATAATACCAGGGTCTAGCTTAAAACTAATTAAAGCGTGTTTAAATTTGTCAGAAATCAAAAAGCCATAGTGCAGAAAA